TAGAGCTATCAAAACCAAGGGCCAAATATTGAGAAAAATTTGTAAATTACTGAACGAGTATGACCTACCCAGGTCCATGTTGGAAGAGAGCAATGAGGGCCCTATTAGGATTTACAGATCGAATAATGTCGCTGAGTGCGATGGCGACTTCACCTCGAAGGAAGGCTGCAGACGCCTCACCAATCTTTCCAAGAAGCACACGAATGCAGGTGTCAACGTGAGGATCAAGCAGACGTCCTAGGCCCCTAAAGAGGTCAGAGAGAGTCTTCACTGCTTGCCTGGATACCTATTCAAATGGAAACAGTTACCAATGAAAGGGCCTTAGTTTTGACTTTGAAATTAGCAACACATGCTGTCTTCCATTATGCTAGGCTTTCCCCTTTTAGTCGCTTGAAAGCTTTGATCCCGAAGTTAACTTTTAAATAAAAATGTCCCAACGGGTTCGAGAAATCATATTCTAAGAAACAAGTCATTATTTTTTATAACTTTGTTAATACCTTATTCCATGACTATATCTGAACATTGGTCAATAAATTCCAATGAGAAAAGACTTAACTGATAGTGTCTTTTTATAAGATTGGAAATATTCGGAAATGAAGGTTTTGAATGAAGGGATAATTTTTATAGTGCAGAATTTTTAACACCTTAGAGATGGCTATGAGGTATGTTTAGTAACTATAAAGTTGAGTCTTATTCGGAGCAGATGATGCCAATAAGAGACTAAACTGAAATATTCAAATTGATTAGGTCTGGACAAACGGAAGAGCAGATTTGTTATTTAGAATAACTACGCGATGAATAATTTTTAATAAATGTAAAAATAGCCAGTTCTTTGGGAAGGTAGCTTGATTTTCATGAGCAGATGTGAATAAAAGCAAGTTGTCGTTGTCATAGCAACCTAGAGACCCTTATGAATGTCAAATGCAAGTAGATGGAAATTAACCGGGAAGGAATAATATTTCGCTACCAAAGCGATATTAGAAATAGGACCGAAAATCACAAAAGAAAACTCATGGTTCCCATTTGTATCCCTTGTTAATCCTTATCTCTATTTTAAGAAAAATATAATATGAAGAGAAAAGAACAAAATGACGAAAACACATTTCTAAATCAGGAATAAATTTCAATGAAATTTTTGCATAACATTTCATAATATATATTTGTTAAAGCGCTGTGAAAACGATGGCGACATTCGAGTATGTTCAATTGAGGGTATCCCCAACCAGAGAACTTTGAATAATGCCTTGTCTGGCTTACGTCTCATTCACTTATGAAATGCAGTATACACCCAACTGTTATACAGGCGAGGCAAGTTTAGAGATTAAGTCAAAACCAATTTTGTCCTAAGGCACCGAGAAACTTGGTACAGGACACCGATTACACACCTTATTAGCATTATCATTATTAAATAAGAATGCTTATTCTTAATCTAGGGGGGATGAATAATAATAATATTATTATCCCACAGAAGTTTTGACTCTTACAATAATTCCCTTTCAAAAATTGTCGTTATTAAGTCTAAATTTTTTCAGAATTACTTTAATTGTTCTTACTTTTTTCATACTTATCTTTTGGGCTTGAGACAATGGTAGGTGAAACAATAGTAATCTATCTTTAAAACATTACAGCAAGCATAAACCAAATTCTGGCATCAAATCCTTTCTCTTTTTCACAATTCTATACCAATTATATCATTTTTTCTTTGTTGAGAATTCTAAAGAAATCGACAAAGTTAAACAAAATCATTGGTTGGATCAACTAGCTTATCTTGGTTATAAAGAAGAATGAGTGAAATGAGACAGCAGGAATAATCATGCAATTTAACCCAGTAAATTAGTAAAGTAGTTGATTTTATACCATTTCCCACCCAACTGGACTATTTTGAGATTTGCTGTTTGCAATGTTCGTTTATAATCACTAAAGTATAAAATTAAGAAGTGATGAATTTAAATAATTAAAACACGAATATCACTTAAAACGTGCCTACTATAATCTTCAAATTTGACAACTTATTTTAAAATCGCCTCATTTTTAAACATGATAAAATAGGGAAGACATTTTCAGATGAAGGAATAAGTGAAGAAAAATTACCTGAGAACGGAGGTTCTTGCATTCTGAGATAACGGAATGAATAACTGCTGAGTAGGATTCAGATGGAGTGGAGAAGGCGAGGGGATTCCTTAAAGCAAGAGAAGATAGGCTTAGCAGCCCATCCACCTTGTCCTCCCAATCTGAAGAAGATATTCGACTAAGGATTGCATTTACGTCTCGATTAGTCCCTGTTTCCAAATTCAATGAAGAATTTTTGGAAAGTTGAGAAACCACTACGTTTTCACCTCCGTCGTTAGCGTTATATTTTCGGATACCCCTGAAAATGATGGCAAAAACAGTCTTCTCACATCAAAATATAAAATATAAGTTTTATTCACATTGATAACATTTTAATAGAAATACCTCCGATTCGGACTATTACTTCGAGGAAAAGTTGGGGGTCGTTTTGGGCGCATCTGAGGCGCTGTTTGAGTTGGTATTTGTGAACAAGTGCGTGAGAACTTTGCATCATCCACTTCAGCCCGAATTCTGCTTTCAGCCGCTAAAAAATTCCCATATGCATTCTAATGTGAACACAAAGTTGTGTAATATATTTATTGACTTTGAAAAGACCTATTTATATTGACATCGACGAAACCCAAGCCCATTACTTCCACTCAGTATGTTTATGTCAATAAAAGCTCCTCTATATGGTCGATGATTGAAGGTCAGCCGGATGAAGTTGAGTTAGTTCATATTGAATGATGAAATGTCAAATGAAGAGTACAATTTAGTACTTATGAGTCACCCGGAGGTCCCTGATGAATGTGTAGTATTATTCCGGTAAAAGAAAAGCCGCAGCATCCTTTAATCCCTTTATAAAATTGAGAGTAACATTCCTCGTCATCTAGGTGAGAATTTCAACAATATTGGCTTCTTATAGATACGCTCTAAAGCTGCGTCAAATAAAAGGGCCAGGAGTCCATATATAACCACTCTTCATGCAAAAAATATTATCGCTTCAATTGATAACACTCACCAATATTCTTTGTTTAGAATAAGATATAGGAAGTGAGCATTTAAGCTTTCTGAAAATAAACAGTATTACGAGGTCCTATTTCTAAATGTTAAAACCCTTGGCCACTCAGGAAACGGGATAAACTTGATAGACATACAAGTAGTAAGGTAGAAATTGAGTTACTAGGACCGCTCGATAGACTTATCACCACATGGGGCACCCTGGGTAATGTATACTCATTCGGCAAAGAAGTCAATAAACCGACAGTTGACTTCTGACTTTAAACTACCGTGACCCCACTCTATGTCATATTCGACCACTTTCACAGTACTCATCTTACCTCTTCTCTCCCTTTGTGTCTGTCTGTCTGTCTCTTTAACATCTGTGAATCACTCTTCTGCTCCCCTCTCGACTTTTCTCACTTTGATGTTCTTTCCCTTCATGAAGCCCGAAGTCAGCTGAAGGGCTAGTGCTAACTATGATATAAATAAAATATGAATCAAATAATAATAAATGAGCATAAAACATCAGTCCTTATAAACAAAGTCTCTTAAAAGCGAAATTCCACAATTTTCAAGCATGGATGGTGTACATTGACATCATAAGTAGTCGAATAATATCTGATAGATTTTGATAAAGGAAAAGCATACACTATTTGACAAAATACAGCTACATAGTAATGAAGTCTTTGAGTCAGTGGTCCGTTTGAGCACTTCTGGTGTTTCTTTTATTGATATCTCATGCATTTACGCAGATGGTACTGATCACCCCGCTCCCGGTAATTTTGTTTTTTTCGTATTACACACTATGTAGAAGTGCTTGGTGCTTAAATTCTTATTAGATTCAGTATTAAAATGCATTTCGATCTCACCAAATGCCTGATTTACCTCTGTTTTGAGATTTTTAAGCCATACATGTAAAGACTTGTCCAAAGATTCAATCCACACTTTTGTAGTTGTAAAGTTTTTCAAATGATCTTCGACAGCTGCACTTTAAAATTCGTAAGCGCATAAACGTATTTTTCTGTATAAGACTCGCGTTTTAATTTCAACCATTTAGCTTACAACAAGTTTTGAAACCCTTTAGTAGAAGTGAGAAGGAAATGTTCAACTTACAACCTGATTGCAGACTGTCACTTCGTAGAGCTTGACTGGGTCTTTGACGAAAACTTCGAGATGAGTGATCCTCAATACCTGTCTTGAGGGTATTCGCATATTCCTAAATGTAAAAGTAATAGTCTAGTCTATCATTAATTCCGAATTTATGTGTATTCTTCTATTAACCAAAGCAATTATTTCCTTGGTTTGGCTACGATCATTAAGGAATATTTGTTAGAACGTATTTAGTCGCCAGACTTATTTCTTAAAGAAGTTTTGAACTTGTGATTCGGAAGGTTCGTGCCCAAATTGGCAGAGTTTAGCAAAGCAGATAGTAATTAATGGGGGCTAGAATCAACAGCAACGTCCCATTCTGATGTTCTAAGTGGACATATGGAAACAAAATTGTTAATCAACACTTGAGACGTCAATGAAAAGACAGGATTGGAGAAGATGAGAGAAAATATTGAAGTATTTATTCCTCATTGTGATCAATAATCCGGAGTGTCTCCTCCAACAAATTCACATGCATAAATCAAATTATTTCATTTAAGCAGCCCAAGTCTATAGAAGTTAGATATTATTATTTGATCTAGTATTACTTGTAATTTGAAACATATAAGCATAAGAGATCATGAACTAGATGTTAATACCATTTTGAAATCGTCGTTACCAAAGGAGAGATTTTCTAATACGGTTGTACGACCAGATACATCGGGGGCGCTTTCACTTAATTCTTGGAAATTTTTGATTGCCTCCTGTTTACCTGACTGCTCTTTGATATCTCCTGTTGAGAAAAAAGAAAAGCTAATGTTGCTTGGACAAACTAAGTGGGATTTAAAAGAGCATATAAGTGAAAACATACCAACTGGATGAACACTTCTGCCAACAATGTCAAAATCGGACTGTGAATTAGGGAGCTTTATATTTGTAACAATATCGTGCTGTCCTATTAAAAAAATGTTTCAATAGATAAAGGTGTTTATCGTTTCGTTATTAAAAAAATCATTTCATTTTTTCCAATTCACCATTAAAGACCAAGCGATTTCATAATCAATCGACAGAAAGATCTAATATGGCAAGCTTTATTAAAGCAGGACATAATTATTTATATGTACTGGAAGATAACCTGTGTGTGTGTATTTCTCAAATAATAACCCTATTAATGGCAAGAAGTCATTTTCTCTCTTCCACAGAAATATTAGTAAAGCATACACAAATCAGAAATTACATAGGGTATTTTTCTTCAAATGGGATTCATGAATTTAACGAACTCAGTTGATGTTAAAATGAAACTAACCATTGTTTCTCCAAACCGCATTTTTCAGGCTCCCTTTTCAACATTTGACTCATCACAGTTGACTAGACCATAATAAGTACTCTAGAAATGAGCTCTAGACCCGACTTTTATCACAAATAGGATTAAAGGAAAGTTACCATTTTTTAAGATTTTGTTCAACCCAAAATTCTGACCACAACAATACACTGAATCAATCCATCTTACTCTCTGGGCCTTTTATGCTTCATGCAGTACAAATAATCTTTATGATGTTCTTACCTGTTTAAACGTAGGCTGCGTTTCCTACAGTAGCTACCACCACAATCTCAGACAGAAAAAAATTCAATAATTCCCATGCAAAAAAATACTTGTTCACATCCAATTTTAAAATTTTCATGATTTTAAGTATCGCAAAAATATGATTATCGATTTATAGATATTTTACTTCATTCGCAAGGCAATCTTTCGTAAAGTAGAACACTATAGCAAAGGACATTCGCCTCTTTCACATTTAATATTATTCCATGCCAATGTGTTGTACTCACAATCTAATGTGATTCACTTTCAGCTAAGTATTCCCTTCCTAAAGATAGAAAATTGTCTTTCTAGTAAGAAATTAACAAAAAAACTTTTATAAAGTAATTAAATTACGATAAAGTAAGTTGTGGATGCAGAAAAATAGTTAAACGCAGCATAGATTATCCATACTCTTTTAAAACGATGCTAATAAACGCGTAGGGAATAGCTTATTCTTTAATATCCATTATCATTACTGTTACATAGTAACCTCAAAAAGCGCTTTCTTAAAAATAAGAAAAAACGGTATAAGCTTTTTCATTTTCCTCACATTAGTAGTCCTGTTGAAATTTTTTCTTTCTTTAGATTCTAGCAATTAAATATACTTTACACTTTATTCCTTGTTTGTGCGAATCAAAGAGGGTAAACTCAGTACAATATCCGCCTGTTGTTAATGACCTCAACAAGATCACAAGATCGTTTATAAGAAAAAATATCTTACCAATAGGTTCTACCTTCTTTTCTTTTTCTCTGAGAAATCAACTAACCATAATTTAATCCGAGTATTAAGTAAAATTCAGAAAATTTCCCTCTTCTATTTAGAAACCTTCGCGCAATATTACATTAACTTATATCATAAAGGCCGCATTTATGAGCTATTATGTCATACTAAGGCCTATAATATGAACTCGGTAAACTCAGAGTTATGGGAAATTTTTATTCTGTCATAGGTAAATCCTAACATTTTAAGATTATATCAAACATTCCTTTAGATCAGATAATCTTCAAAATCTTGCCATTACGTGAATACACCCTCTAGAAAGACAAACAAGAGAAAACTTAATCAGGTTAAAATTAATTACCTCGGAGAGGTCCAAGATGAGGACTATGCGGTTCGATGGATGCAGTGAAAGCTTTCAGATGATTGGGCAGGTCATCGAATTTAGGACTATGTTGGTTGGTTATACTAGATCGAACTGTTGTTAGACTTAGGGGAATGTGGGGTGCGTTAAGATACGATCGGTTTCCCACATTGTGTCTAAAATTGTACATTTAAACAATCTAAAAGGTCTTCTTAAATTCAATTATTATTCGATTATTTATCCATTAATAGGTTATTTTATTACAATAAGCAAAAATATATGCTATTTTGAAAGTATTCTTTTCATAGAACCGGATACATTTTTAAGCTAATAATTTTGAGTAATTCTCCTATTTGATAAGTCTATTTGACTTGATCCACCTTATGGTTGATCATGGATTTCCTCGGTTTATGAGTACTCCTCCAAGACTTTTTCAATCACTTGATTGAATGTTCATGAGTTGAAAATCTGCTTTTCAATATTATACTTCCACAATTTATCCACCCATTATTTCTGAAACATCCACTCCCGTCGCTTACTAGAATTATATAATGCGAAATTCGAACCGACTGATACCGTTCTCGTAGCCTTTAGATAGGCACATGTGAGTTGACCAAGTCAATACCAGGACAAATAATGGGAACAAAGTATACATTTAAATAGATTATTAATTTTCTAGGATAAGATGAAATCCACATAAAAAATTTCCACAGCTTTCTATGGACTAATTTAATAAGGTTGAAAATAATAAATATTCTTTCGTAGCGTAGTCATACTACATTTCAATTAGAGAATGTATGTACAAATGCAAAATTAAAATGCTATTGGAAGTAGCGGTTTCATAACAAAATAAGTGAAAGTAATCTTATAAAATTTATAGTGATAAAATGGCAACATTCTATGCTGATTAAATTTCGTTAATTCGATTTATATTTCCAGCACGAAAATAACGACTGACCTTTTGCATACTTACCGATTATGGAGTCGGTTGGAATTCGGGGATTCTCCATTCTTTGGGTCACTAACAAAAGAGCAAGGGGGGTCTAAATTTGTATTCACTTGGAGAATTCCTTGTTGAGATGCCCTTCGGCGGATACTTGTTATCTTCAAAAGCAGCGATAAGGAAATGAAATTTAGCTTCACTGAAATAAGCACCCTATGTTTTTGGTAGCAAGTTTAATAATAACGTTAAGGAGTGTATTTGTGAGCTCTAAATTCCACGTAAAGAGAAATTATTGTGTGGTATATTTAAAATAACTATTGGTAATGCTTCTTTCCCGCAGAAGTTCAACTTCACTAAGAACTCTTGCCAAAGTCCTGGCAATTATAATTCTTCTGATATGTATTTTAAAGGAGATAAGATTTGCACTAAGAGTTATGAGAACGAAATATTCGCAAAAATTTCGTTCGAATAAGTATTGAGCTTATTCTTAAATAGATGGAAATCCAAATAAATTAAATTAATTTTATCCTACAAAATAACATCATACGTATTTCTCTTTAGCATATAATCGGATTTTTGAAGAAAAAATAATAATGCAAATGACAGGGGTACCTCAGGTGAACCAGCTGAAATATTTCGAGTTGCGGAGGAGCCTTCAGAAGCCAGGGAGAGACTTGCCAACGATTCGGTGAATTTCCTGGGAGGCGAATTCGCCTTTGTATGGCGGGCTATCGCGAAGATAGGAAACACTGAATTACTAAACTCTCAAAACAAAAAATCGGAATATTCAGTGAAAAGATGACTTAATTAGAATTTCACATTCGAAAAAGATTCTGAATCCCACTTAGTATGAAATAAAATAACCACCTTGTCTACCTGGTGTGAATACTTTTATAACTGTGTGAAAAACAAACGGAGCTAACACAGATTCAGTAATTATTTTTCACGAGTATCTATTCGACGAGATGTTTTGATATTACCTTATTTAGACAATAATCAATTCAGAACTGTAACATATTCTATTCGAAATCTTCCGTTACTGACATTTCTAATGTCATTTAAGTCAGTTCATAATTAAAAAAGACAACACAAAATCGTAACTATCGATCAAGGTTTAATAAAAATAAAATTCAAAATAGAGAATTAAACCAAATTTTCACAAAGAAATTCGTTTGAAAACTTTTAGCTAATTTTGAATAGTTTGCTTATAATTAAATAAAGTGAAAGAAGACAATGTAATCCTGTCCAAAACTACCTTTTGGGTTGATATTGAATTCGTATATTTTTCAAAATTGTTGTAATCTAGACCTGTGTGGGTATAATTCAATGCTGTTTATTTAAAATGTTTATTGAAATAGGAAAATCTTTACTTAGATGAAAAGCATCAAGAGAAAAAACTCATTGAGAAGCACTAAAATGAAAGTCCAAGCTAAATTTGGCATTGAAAGTAATGTTATCTGCATTACTACTAAGCCCTTTTCCGAGATGCAGAAGGAAATATCGTTGAAAGTGGAATAAATGAAAATACTACTTCCCACACAGTGAGGGCTAACGTTGAAGTAAGACTCTATTTGTTTCATGATCATTGGAAACCACTGAAACCTACGTATCCCGACCTCAGGATGACAATTTAGGTATTTGACCTGACTGCCACCTCAAGTCTGTTACAAAGATTCTCTTTCGCACTGTTCCTCATTGGGCCGATCTCATTCAATATTCCTCTCTTTCCCTAATTTTAACACCTGCAATAGATCAGACTTTGATTGACCCCCAACTCTTAGACTTTTGCTTGCCTCGTGACTGTATATTTTGAACAAGTAGAGTATTCAGAAGCTCACAAATGTTAAATATTTTTAGGTCATTAGAAAAATTACTCATAACTTTATTAAACTGGATTATTTTAGCCAGCAATATCTTACTTTCATATTATTAAGGGACAAATCACAGAAATTTGCTACAGGGAATCCTCAGGGAAGAAAAAAAGTGCCAGACATAGAATCAGGTGCGAATTCAAGTGACTTTGGTATTCGTCTTGATATTGATTTATAAAAATGCCTGATAATTGTGCTCTTGCGAGGATTTTTTAAATGGTGAAAAAAACTTTCAATGTCAACACAGAAATATGGCTCAAATAAACCTACTTTGATTTGTACGACAATGGGAATCCGCACAACTTTTCAAGCTACGACGCATAGTTGTTCGACCATCCAATTCAAAAGGGGGTACTTGATTAGCGTTTGGTCGCCACGGAAGCTAAAAAAGCGATTTAAGTTGGCTTGCGTAACTACGGCTGATGCATTAATGTTTTAAAGGGTTGAATACCCTACCTGAACATTTGGTTTCGGTGCGTAAGGATCAGTATCCATAGAAGAGTTAATTGGTTTGGTGGGAGAAGGGGTTATAGAAGATGGGGAGCCACTGGAGTAACCGACAACAAAAACGCTATCTCTTGGATCCCAAGGCAGTCGTAAATTACCATGCATACGACCAGCACTCGGCTTTCGACGCTCTGCAGTAATTTTAAAAAAAAGAATATTGGACAGATATGAACATTAACAATAATAGATATCAGAATAGATATTACCATACACCATTACTAATAGTCATGGCTCTGAGGAGCAAATTCAAGATGACTTTAAGAGCCAAAAGGAGGGATCATGAAGAAGTAGGTAATAACGTCTGGAGACTTGATCTCTACTTTACTTTGGAGCATTGAAATCACATTGTTTTAAAAGGGTACCTAGAGACCATCATATGCGAATTTAGTAATCGTGGCATATTACCCAAGACGGACTTAAAATAAGCAATGCCATTTATTTGAGAGTTCAGGCGAATTTATGAAAGGAGCATTCGATTTTAAAATCTGAATGAATTTGGAATATTCCGTTACTTTATTCATTACCAAACGCGACAAAAATGGCTGAAAGAGGGAGTGAGCTTTTAGTGGTGCTGCAAAGAGTTATGCTAGTTAAAAATATCTTCTTAAGATATTTTAATTCTTTAAGAGTGGTTTTCTTAAAGCAAGCAAAATTTCTGAATGTATGTTTTACAATACTTATATTGGTTTTGATCTGTTATGAAACTAAATATATTTAATATCGATTAAAATATTTCATCAATATTTCGCGGGAAATTACTGTATTTCGTTTCTTAAAAGGAGCTGTAGCAAAATGAAGAAGGCCAGATTGCATGGATAACCCTATTTTTATTCTCAAATTTTGTACGATTTGATGTTTGCTTTACACTAATTTATACAACAAACTCCGCTTAACTTAGCTCGATGCCCCAAATAATTACTCAATCTCATAATGTTTTTGCTCATATTTAGAAGCTTTTTATGTTTCCTTCGAGAGCAAATTTATAACAATGTTCTTATTCACCTTTCCCAACGAACCACATTGTTATTAAAACCAACTATTCTTCTTACAAATTATGTTAAAAATTATATACCAGTATAGCTATAACAGCTTCCACTCTTTTAACGTCAGAGATTGGGTAGAGTTTGAACTCAAATACCGTTGAAAACTCAAGGATCAGTTTCCTAGAGCAGCCATAACCAATTATGATTCAGATTAAAAGACGTTTTACAATAATACTGTCCCTTTACCATTTCGGTATTCTACTTCAACCACTATCAAAAATACCTCCTAATCTTATTTGTCTCGATGTTTTATCATTATTAGAAGCAGTAAGAATTTGCACTTGATATTTATAATTTCACTATAAGGTTAACTATAATAATGATCATAAAGTGAAAAACGCTATTTGCTCATCATTCAAATAATGAGCAACCACGCTTTCAACGTCACATTTTATCCCATATTGCATTGTAAAACTCCACTAATGATCCTCCGCCTCCTCGTTACTCAAGCTTAAATGTACTTTTTTGCTTCGCCATAAGAAGTTTTAACTAAAAGTTATATCAATATATAGACAAGGTGAAAAATTTGCAAATATTTCAGTTCTTATTTTTTTCCCAATTGGTAGTTAATTAATAATGGAGATGGAACAGACCACTAATGGCTGATGAGGAGGCTTCGTAATTGGTGTGTCCCATAGCAGACATTCCGTTGCTAGAATTCTTTCTGGTGGTGGATCGAACAACACGAAATTGATTGTCAAGGGTGGGGAGTTGACGTTGGAGTACGGCGGAGCGCAATGCGGCTAGGATTTGCAATAGGAGCAGGTCCTGTTGCTGGCCATGGTCTTTATTTTTTTTAGCCTCTTCTTCTTCTTGGATGCTGTTGTTATTGCGTTGAGAGAAAATGGAAAGCTGTGATTCCGCACGATCAAGTAAGGTTACACCCTGGATACTTACAACAACTGCCAGGCAGTCAACTGCTGCACTTCGAACCTGTTTCGTAAAAAGAGAAGGTTGGGTCATTAATGGCCACCTATTGGCAGGAACTAGTATTTAATCATTCAACAAGGAAGACAATGGTTCGGCTCTAAGCGGGTGTATTTATTAAAAATAGAGGGCTTTAAATTTTACCCATTTGCTGCAAAATGCAAGAACATAATGGCAATTTATTGTTTTTTCTATGATATCATTACAAGTAATTCGACAAACAACGTGCATAACTTTAAGTTTATTCTTAAATTTAAATGCTACTTGTTATTCTAGCCAACAATAGTCATACCCTAATTCAAAGCATCGATCTTGAATTTTAATCAAGTCACATTTCAAATGATAAAAACAGCAAAAAATTATTCCCATTTTCACACTTAATAATATGTTAATATGGCATCGAAAATTTTTTAAGACTTTTGCATATATGCTATTTATTTCACCTGCCTAACAATATATATTATATTCGGACTATGGAGATAGTAAGTAAGTGTGCATAAAAAATATTGCTTTATTTTCTAAGGGGTAAATTCAATGAAATGAAGATGGATCCCAAAAGAGATGATGCGGTTATGTGGTAAAATTATGTATTTGTCTCAACCAACTTAAATCATAAAAGAAATATGAAATTAAAATACATGCTTTTTATAACTTTCCTCTAGTAGTTAGTAGTAAAGTAAGCAAATTACTGGTCATGATGATTGCCTGAAATTTGTACATTTTATATTTCCGTCTTTAATATACCTATTTAAAGTTGATTATATTCGTATAAAAGAGAATTTTGCAAATATTTTGTATAGAGTTGGAAAAATAAAAACTTAGTCGATTATGTCAGTAAAATCGGAGGAAGAAATGAGGAAGGAAAATACCTTAAAATTAAATAGGCTTTTCAGATTTTCAAATGAATCCTATTTGGAAAGTCTGAATCCAGCTTACGTTGAACAAGTTTGAAAGAACGGCACATGTCATATGGCGGCTGCATTGAGGTGGAGACAGAACAATAGGTCTCTAGATTTTAAATCTGATTGGTTAGCTTCATTCTAGCTCCATAGGCCAGTTTTTGCATTATGTACAAGTTTTGGACTACTTATAACAAATACAAGTTGTCGAACAATTAGCAGATACCTTAATAATGTGGAGAAATTCATGAGTAATTATGAATTGAGCATGTAAAAATAAGCCAGAGAAAGTTATTTTGTTGCCACAGTAACAAACGATTCAATTTATTACCCCTTTTGTAAGGAAAACAATGGGTTATTAAGTTAGGTACCCACTACAATATGAGTGTTTGAGGAAACTCATGACCTTTAGGGTCACTCCACCTAAAATGCCTCTCCAATCAGCGAGTAGGAGTCCTAATGCAAACGTAAGTATTTATTTGCAATGAAAAAATGCACTAGCTCACTATTCTGTATTTCTGTTAAAGTTTTCGATCTAACCTCCTTTCCATATTTGTAATTCTTTAGTTTCTTCTTTAAAATTATCTTAATTTTCGCAAAAATGTTTATTTCTTCGAATGAATCGATAGTCTGCTTGTCGACATAAACAGGATGCTTTCTCAAGCAGCTTATTTATACGTGACTTGCGGTTTTGAGATTCATCCAATTGTGTGTTCCCGTTAACAGGATGTAAAAACATAGCAAGATATTAGTCAACGGAGTAAAGTTGGCGGATATCTATCATATTCAAACGAATTTTATACAAAAATCCATTTCGATAACATTGGGCACTCCTCGAAATCTTTGTTAACAAGATTGTAATATATGTTACTCATAAAGGTATAGTAGCATATTAGCACGTATTTATTAAATAAAGTTTACCGGCAAAAATAAAACCTCGGTGTTTTAAACGTGTTTATAGAGCTATTACCCATTTGTGAGAAAGTTTATAAGAATTGCATTTAAAATTTGTCATTTTGAATTTATGGTTCTTTGCATTCAGAGGTTAAAAATTCATGCGTAGGCACACTTACCACTTCCTTGGGATCACACAACCCAGGTACAATGATAGTGTCCACTATTTCGCAGAAATTAATTTCTGAGGATGGACAGAGTAAAAGAATTTCAATGACCAAATCGATAGCTTCTTTACGAAGTTTTGAGGAAGAAGCACCCGTGATTTCAAAGTCCTTGTCGTAACAACCTAGTATTGGTACAGCAAGATCATGGAGAAGAGATCGTGAACCTCCAGGTAATCGTACAATCTTGGAGATCAGCTGTGATGCCTCGCCTAGAAGAAGGGGGCTGGACTCAGAAAGTACAATTCGAAGAAAGTTCGTTGCCAAGTGGATGATCCAGCTGAATCCATCACCAGATTGACTAGGGCAAAAGGAAGGCGTATTTAATTGTGAATCTCCTTGCAAAGAAAGGGTTTCACATTTCATTCTAGTAAACATATTTTCAATAAAATTATAAAATTAATTGAAACGTATTAATTAATTAATTAATTTGGTAGATGGACATCAATAAATAACTTCATGAGAATAAAGCCTCCCAGAACTGTCCATAGTTTTTTTTATAAATGCAAAGTTGGTGGCATTGAAGCGACAGGCATTTTTCCTATTTGAGGTCCTGAAAATCATGAGATCATGCTTAAGTAAGAAATTGTTGTTAATACAATTGGAAGAGGATAATCACAAAGCTGCAGATTCTAGATATTGATATGTTTTAATTGAAAATTGTTAATATAGTGCTCATTTCTAGTTGACCAATTAGAACCTCTGGTTAAGAAAAAAATTTTTACATTAAATAACTGAAAATAGCCTTAATTTTAGTGAATTAACCTCTTCAAACGGGGTCTGAGTGAAATCAGGTAATTTTAAACGTAGAAGGAACTCAAGGATATATTTTGGTTCATAAGTTTAGACATATAGTACATTGACTAAGGCACTATTCCGTTATATATTAAGAAAATTTGCGTTGGGATAAAAAATCAGATCGAAAAAATTCTTAAAGTAGTATGCTATTTTCGCCTCACACATGATAACACAAACAAAGTTGCATTTTGGGAGGTTTGTAGCGGATTAGCTACCTCAATAACCTTGACTATTCTCAGAAAGCTCTCTAGAAGTTTCTTCTAACTCGAAAGTCCCCGGGGAATTAGCTAAGCTAAGACAGAGTATAAAGGAACAGTCGTGTTGTACGAAGCACGTTTATACAGTACGAGTATGGGGATACCGTGTGTTTACAGGCAGGTACCTAAGTCCTACAACATGGCGGATTTGGTGAAACAAGCGAGGGTCCTTGAGCTGCTATTGGCTGCGTGCTCTTGTCCTCAATCCGTACGCGAGGTTTATGTACTTCTCGTCGCAGGATTGAAAGAATTACAGTATATGAATAAACGCCGCTTAACAGATCATTTTTACCTTACTTCAATAATCAAAAATTTCGAACTTCTGAACAAGCTTTATGGAATGTATGAAAGGTTTGGGAGCGGGTGAAGCGGATGTAAACTAGTGGTGACGAGGATTCCGGTCTCCTTGTTGACATTTATAATGGAAGAAATTATGTGAGCAGGCCCGTGAATGGTTTATGAACATCAGAGTCGATCACTTCAGAGATGCCAACAATTCAAATTGTCTTTATGGTAGGTCTAATAAAAATTGATAGTAACATTTTGATGTGGTTGTTGTGAGTTCATCAGATTTTAGGAGTGTGACGTACAATTTCAGCTATATTTAGAAGGAAGAGATGAGTTTGACTTTACTCGATAAACTTAATACATTTGTGCATATTGTTGTTATCTTTTAAATATATTTTTAATAATGCAATAACGTGTCATAGATACTTTTATTTTTTAATATTTGTATAATGAATGAAAGGGTTCTTAAACCATCAACTATGCAAATATGACCTCAACATAAATAACAATTGTTATTTTCAGTAAGTCATATTTGATTAACAATATCCATACATTAATGGCCAACGCTTCATAATAAGTTCAGACGGCTCAATCTATTCTTTCTTTGTTCATCCTCCACGCGATTTCTAGAAACGGGAGATTTGTTCTCCTCTGTATTTCTAGCTTAATGAATCTTCTTCTCAAAAGGCGTTCTATGGTTATAACTATTAGTCAAGAGAATAGATTTACGACAATAGTATGGGTGCGTCTATGTAGAATTTAGAGGCAGAATATTTACTTGCGTTGCCATGGCGTGAAAGAGTAGTAAAGATGATGTAAATAGGGAGAAGAGGGGAATATGTTGCCTCATAGATAACTCGCTTCGATTAAGAGCCATTGGTACACTTCGCAGAATACAATTTCACGAATGCTTTCAATAAATAGAGAAAAAGTTTGAACGCTGGATGAGACCTCAATCCAAGCTCAATAAAAGTGGAGGTCATGTGATAAGATGCAATGGAGATAAATGGCGTGCTATGTGTCAATATATATATATATATATATATATATATATATATATATATATATATATATATATATATATAGCTATAATAGAAATAAACGGAGATTATTTCGAGTAAAACCCCTTGTTAATAGTAAGTTCTTTGGCTATTTAATTCCATCTAGATATTCAAAAATTGTGTTTACAAATCAACATCTCTGGGGATAGTCAAAATCAACCGGAATAGCCTACATAAATAATACACTAGTGAATATAAATTTTATGAGGTTACTACGCACTACGTATGCGCAAAGCGGTGTGCAATTGATTTACCACCACGTGGAACACCTTGGACAAAGTATACTCATACTCGGCAGTCGACTCCAAACTATTATGATCAGCCTGAAACGAAACTATAAGAGAAATTGCTCTTGTCGGGGCTAATTAAAACTTCAACAGATCCTTCAGTGGAATGCTGGAGGGATGTCATAAGACAAGAAGATCCAATTCCAGAAAATCAGGCATACCTATGATAAAGACATAATCACAATCATAGAAGCCAACCTTACGGATTACAAGCCCAAATACTACCAATTCCCAGGTCACACCTTATATCTCCTACCTAAAGACATTGCGAGCTAATCAAGAGTATGGGCTCAACGCAAGATATATGCGAAATTATCAGATTGAATGCTTGGAAATGTCAAAACCACTTCGAGATACACGCGGTCTATAGTCCACCCAAGAATAGATCCAACTTTGATCTTTTTAACATCTCACACAAAACTGTAGTACTTGTAGGCTTCAACGCCCATTCCACCAAGTGTAGTTATAAGAACATAAGCACAGCAGGAAAAGAAATCGAAGACTTGCTTAACAGCAGCCCTCTAAAACTTATTTGCAGCAATAAGGATCCTGATACTTAACTGCACTACAATGCAACCAGAACAACTATTGACTTGCTCCTGGCTTTAATCGACATCAGCGAGCTATCTAGCGCAAAATAATTAACGATCCTGGTTCTAATCAAAAACCAGTTATTGCTAGTATTACCATCAGCAAATAATGCATGGCACCCAAAATGTCAACCAAGCTATCATGGAACTTCAAGAAGGCTGACTACGGGCTACCATTGACAACTTCATCTCAAATATTAACTATTGAGTTTCAAATTCCTAGGTAGCCTACAAAACAGCAAGAGAAGACCCAAGAAAGAACCGATAAGCTTAAACAACAATCTGCTTATCACCGACCACAAAATAGCTAACTACTTTGCGAGGTTCTATTCCCACAAGCAGTAGCTAACTACTTTGCGAGGTTCTATTCCCACAAGCAAAAAGAAAACCTTTTTGTCAGAAAATATTCAAAAGATATAAAGAAACGAGTAAGACATTTAGTGAAAGTAAGGAAGACACATAATGCCACACAATTTACTTACTGAACCATTCAGTCCTAGCGAACTTAATGATGCGATAAAACAGTTAAGGTGCAAAAAATCTTATGGTAAAGACGGCACCCACCCTGAAGATCTAATGAGAATGGGGTCAAAAGTCAAGGAAATCATGCTGATACTATTCAACAAAATTTGGGAGACCAGTCTCGTATCTACTCAATGGAAATTTTGCATGGTAATACCAATACTAAAAAAGGGCTAAGACCCTAGCAACTTTGACAAATATAGGCCTATCTCCCTCACAAGCGTGCTAACTAAACTTATGGAAAGAATGGTTAAAACGAGACTGACCTGGTTCTCTGAAACGGACAAGAAGGTTTTGGTCACAGAGATCAACAAACCAACAAGTAGCCACTATCTCAAAACATATCAAAGATGTCCTTGATGCAAGAAATAATCCTACGGCTGTATTCATCGTTTTCAAATTATCATATGACTTAGTATGGAAAGAGAACGTAATTCTAAAATTGGCGAAGAAAGGTATAAAGCATAATATGTTAAACTGGGTAAATGCATTAATTGGACAAAGACCATGTAAAGTCAGATATGGAAATGCTCTATCAAAATCCAATCTTTTACAAACAGGCCTTCCACAGGGAGCTGTCAAAAGCTGCACTCATTTCAATCTCTTCATCAATGACATAACCGAATTAGTGCAGACAGTCAAGGCCATCAAGTGCTTACTTTATGCAGATGATCGTTCTATGGTATTCTGCCCCAAAAAACGCCCAAGAGAGGACGGAAAGTGCCCTAAATTGTGCACATAAACTACTTCCAAACTGGTGCGACAACAATGGAATGGTAATCAACACCGCGAAAACTGCATTCCAAACTTTTTCTTTGGCCCATCACAGCATAAACCCGCTTCTAAGGTACAAGGATACTACCATAGAAAAAATCAATGAGTTCACATATCTCGGAATGACATTTGACACAAAGCTAACGTGGAAAAGTCACATTGCTAAAACAGCAGAACGAGTCTCCAATAGACTGAACGTACTGAAGCGCCTCGCTGGTAGCATAAGGGGCTGTGCACGGTCAACCCTAAATACCACTTACAAGATGTTTGTTCAACTAATATTGCTGTATTGCTGTGAGGCACTCATTACAGCCTCTGAGGTGATTCTCAACCCACTCGAGAAGGCGCACAACCAGGCATTACGACTAATGGAGGGATAAAATCAACACCCATTGATGCAATGCTCCTGGTTACTGGGAACATCACAACACGTTCCTTTATCAAAGAGAAGGCCTTGATCCTGTATGAGAAGCTACTGCGAATTCCAATGGACAAATTCTTCAGCACCTATGAAAATAGGCCAAGACACCTAAAAACGTAACCTGATCTAATANTGTAGTGTGTTGCACCCAACTGCTTGACCACATCAGGAAAGCAAATACTCCTCCAGAACCAAAAAAAAGATGAGATATACAAATGTAAAAAACTGCATCAGTTACTTAGAAAAAAGCCAAACAGTAGTTCTTCAATGGATCCCCGGACACTGTGGCATTATAGGTAATGAGCGCGCTGACACACTTGCTAAGAAGGGGACAATAATTTTGCAAAGAATAGACCGGCAGATGTCTTTCCACACAATGAAGACCTTAATCATGAGAGAATTCAAGACTTCAAGGTGCAGCGAACTTAAATCACTCTCCGACATAGCCGACTGGCCAAGAATCGAAGCCGTTGCCTAATTCAGTCTACGCACTGGGCATGAGTGCCTGGCGAAGCATCTTTACAGAATAGGAGTATACGCTCAGCCAACATACCCCCTATGTGACCTATAGGAGAAAATGGAAAAGACCCACCTGATTCAGTGTCCAGTCCTAAAGACATCTATGGAAACCCAGAAGACAACTAGTGAACTACTGTCAACTGTCCTAAATCCTAAATATATGTTCCTCCTCCCCCCCCCCCCCCCCAATGTGAAAGCCGAAGTCAACATCGGGGCGAATGTTAGCTATCATTAAGCCTGCCATTTGAAATAATAATAAAAAAATATATGCGCGAATACGAAACCTGCAGTTATGAAATAACAGAAAAATGTTATCCTTTTAAGCTTATTATGGAAAAAGTTGACGAAATTCCAGAGTAATTCAGAGTTTTGAACATCCACGCTGCTAGATTTCCAGCAATAAGCGTCGATCCGGAGATCTCCGATTGGTCCAATTATATTTTATTCACTATTTGTAACTGTTTGTCATTAGTGAGCCTCTTTTGTTACCTTCAAAACTTATTTTAACGGAAAATAACTGTGCTTAGTATCTTGTCCATTAAACACTTGAAAGTCTTTCTAGAACTCGTTAGAAAGAAAATAAAAAGTAGTGCGAAAGGAGCTAAAAAGTATTTAATTAAAAATAGAATTTAGTAATATTAGATTTGATTGCTTACTTAACCAGTAAAGTGTTAAAGTCCCTTTTCGATATATCCTTTGGCTCAGTCTCAGAAATACCGGAAATTAAACGGGAAAAGAATTCCATTCCATGTAGGACTATAGAGAAATTGGAATCCATTATGAAGAGCTCGGCAATAGCACAAATAACTGACATTTTCAGTGTTTTGACAAGCAGTTTCTGTTTGGATGTTTTAAAAACCGAAATGGAGTCAATCAAGTAGTATTCAATTCTTTTCGACACCTCATTTGCGATTGACTGAGCCCACTTTCCAGAAAGCTTTCCACTTGCAAGAAGATTCATTTCAACAAACATTTTCCGAGTTAGCAAAAAAGAGGAATAATTAAAATTCATCGCAAACTTGCTCCAAAGGAGACCCTTTTCGTGTGGCATGGCTGTTTGTGCATTTTCAATAAAACTCATTTGTTTATTTAACAGAAATTTACCCAATAAGAAATGAGTTAAGCGATGAAGAAAATTAGAATGATGATGAGTTTGTGGAAGGTTCGATAAAAATCTTATACACGGCTCTTTGCTATTTGAGATTTTGTGGACCCGTTCAGGGACAACTTCTGATAGTGTCGCAGATGGCTTGAACTACTTCGATAGCAACAAAACGAAGCCTTTGGTTAGAAGGGATTTCAGAGACGGTTTGAATGCCAAAATATTCGTCTAAGTCACAGCTTCCGAAAAATCGTAAATATATTTCGTAATACTTTATTTATAAGTGACCGAAATTCGGAACGTGATATTAAGACTAAAGGTAAATTTGGTAGAATTTTCGAAAAAAGAATTTAGCAGAGCTTTGTTCAAATCTTGATATTTAATTGCACCTATTAGTTTCAATTCAAGCTTCAAAGTCGCCAAAGCGGCAAATTTACCATTACGATCATTAGAACAATCACAGATATTTCTAAAATTAATGTCGAAGGCGTGATTAGGGTGATGACTTTGAAGCAGAAATAGTGCAGCTGTTCTTTCTTCGCCTATTCGTACACGAAATTTGCAATATAAATTATCATGAGTAAAGATAGGGCTAAAGGACAAAGGTGGATTTAGTTAGTATATAATAAATAAAAGTTGTCGAACTTAACTATTGAATTAAAAGCTATTTCTAAGATCGTATAATCAAATAAATTTTTATACAAAGTAATTGGAATCCAAAAATAGAATATTTAAGATGGCAAAATTCAAGGACACATTCACATGTGTTCAGCTATTATTTACACAGTAGAAACGACCTTTATGGTACTATATCACATTTTATGCAAATAAATAAGAGCACTAATAAGAATCTTCTCTTAAAAAATTAATTTATTATTGAAATCATGATAATATAACTAAAAATTAAACAAGTTATGATTATTTAAATTAATAAAAAGTAATAAATTAATTTAAAAGGGCCAAAATGATAGATATTTTATGAAGTTTAATAAGCCAAACACATTTATACTAGTAAATCAACATGGTATCTTTACCCAATTAGAATTTTTAATAACATGTAATGTAAGAAAGCATACTTAGTGATATCAATCAAAATTTCCCAAGAAACCGAATTTTTGTAATAACTTATTACTTCAATTAAAATTTCCTTGAACGCAATTGCGGTCACTGAAGTTAAGAAAATAATTCGGTAGGGGTACCTTAAGAGCCTATTTAAGAGGTTTCATTAAAATAAAAAATACAGAAAATATCGAGCATGTTACAATATAGTTCGCTACGTTTGTTATGTTTAACTAGGTTAATTATGTAAATTACTAACTCTTGCATCTTTAATTATCAGCTCAAATGAAAAAGGTTTAAAGCGATCTAGTTTCTATGGTTTAATTATCAACAGGAACATTCAATGTCTCGATATCGATTAATCAAAATTGTACACAAGGGAAGAATGATTTATCTTCACGAAAGGCTATATATTGATATTCTTTATTCACTTCTCATTTGTCACCTTAAATATCTTCTTAGGGGTGTGCGATAGACTTACTTGCACGTGGTGCACCCTGGGCAACGTATACTCATACGGCAAAAGTCTGTTAACCGGCAGTTGACTTCTGACATCAAACTACCATGTCTGTTAACCGGCAGTTGACTTCTGACATCAAACTACCATGACCCCACTGTATGTCATATTCCACAAATTCCACAGTACTCGCCTCACCTTTTCTCTACCTTCGTGTCTGCCTGTCTGTCTCTTCTACATCTGTGAAACACTCTTTTGTTCATCCACTCGAATTTTTCCCACTTTGATGTTCCTCAGTCTTTGAAGACAGAAGTCAGCTAGATGACAAATGTTAACTATTCAAAGTGTCTGCCATTTGAAATAATAAAAATAAAATATCATTTTATCATATATGCAAATGCGAAGGAACAATATTGAAAATAGCAAATTTTGAACTTTGAAAATGCATTCGCTGCTGAAACTGAAAAGTCTTCAGAGGTGCAATAGTGACAGGTAATTTTATATGGAGTTAAAGGTTCATTCTTACCAAAGGCTCTATTTTTACTCCTTTATTTCCAAGGTCAGTCAAAATTCGCAACAAATACGCAACGGGTCAACTCTTACGAGGAAATATTTTAGAATATCCTTAGATTGTGATAATTATGCATGATGACAGTATTGACACAAAATATTGAAAATTTTTAATTTTTCAAAATGATGGCACTTACAAGAACAAAGAAGGTACAGAATTTTATGAAAGCACATACCATTATGTGGGGGGGGGGGGGAAACGATTCATTAATAATCATCTTGAAAATGCTACAAAGATACTATTGATTGAATTATATTACTTGAAATAGCTTACTGTATGATTCAAAATTTAAAATTTACAGTAGCATGATTAAATGTTTCTAAATAATTGAGTAAAAGCGTGCGTCATTGCATATTTCCGCTAATTTCTGTACAAATAAAGTAGACCTAATTTAAATATTTTTACGTTAAAAATATTTTACTTTCTAGAGAAAATAAAATATTAATAATTTTGCAACCTTGAGTTAAAATAAGGTGGTCTTCGAGATTAATTGTTGAAAAATCGGACTTACATATTCTTGTCGTTCTCTAAGGAGTGCAGAAAGTTTTTAACTATGTCTTGGTTCTCAGATTTGTACGTCTCAGTGGCGATGATATTTATCAAACTTATGGTTTACGCCTACGAATATCTGACGTTACCGATATACTTCATGTTCAGCAAAACCGAATACTTCATGCCATTTCCGGAAGATGAACAATCCTACTTCAAAAAATTTGCAGCTGAAGAATCAAGAACTTTAAGCATGCCCATTGAAAAAAATGATCCTGGCAGCCCATGGCGGGCTTCTGAATATATCGATAATTTAGTTACGGAGGCTTTGCCAGGTTGCTCAACACTGTCCGAACTTTGGCTTCGCACAGTCAAACTGTGGCCAAACAAACCTGCTTTGGGTACAAGAAGAATTCTTAACACTGATTACGAGGTAAGTTTCCTTGCTTCAACTCTTTTTTTATTTCACTTTTAGGCAATGCCCAGCGGCAAAAAGATGGTCAAGCTAACAATGGGGGAATATTTGTGGGAGACTTATGCTGAGGCAGAAAGCCGAGTCTCATCTCTAGCAGCAGGTCTTCGTTCCATTCTAGGACCAAGCACGCTAGATAGGAAGGAAGAAAATAGCTGTCCCACGCCGCTTATTCTTTTCTCTGAGACTAGAGCTGAGTGGCTCTATGCAGCTGTAGCGACTTGGCGTCTTAATCGTCCCATTGCCACTCTCTACTCTACCCTCGGTGATGATGCTGTTGTCCATGGACTTGTTGAAACTGAAGTGAGCCTTTTCCTTTTTTTCTTTTTTTTATATGATTATTGCCTTGCATTAATTGGATGTACAGACGTATAGGTTTAATTTCTTTAACATGATGTAGGTTTTCATGAGGTTTGATCTATATAATTTCTATTTTTTGTTGCTTAGCTCAAATGGCAAAAGTTATTGCAAAATTTTCAGGCATTTATATTATGAATTCGCTTTACTTAAGGCTTATTTGAGAATTGTATTTTCTTTGTCTAGTTTTTTCTCCACTTTCCCTCTTTCATATTGGTGCCGATGTTGTCGTGGTTTTTCTCTCAGTATCCACATTTCCTTTCATAAACGAGTGGAATTTATATTCGCAGTTAAAGTTTTGCTAATAAAGACTGATATGATAAACAAGTGGTTTAAAAAAATAACTGATGTCACGTATAAAATAAGGCGTTGGTTAATAGTTAACTGTATTGTACGGGTTATAGACCGCTTCAATTGTAAACGAAATTTTGTGCAGTTGCTGGATTTTAACTTTTTCATCTTTACAGTTTTGCTGCATAGTTCAATACAGTTGGGGTTGAATAGGGCTTTATCTTAATTTTTAACGAAATCCTGATGCATCATTGATTATTCTGATCTTTTCGAAACTATTTCTTCCTTTCCTCAAATTGGTGCTTTTTTATTGCAGTAAAACCTATTAAATGGCTTGAAAGTGATCAATTGTGCAATATTCCCTTCTTATTTTGATAAAAATATATAATTGGAGTCCTGTCACATTTATTTATCTTTTTGACTAATATTATTATTTAAGAATCTTTTCTGAATTCAATATTTGTTTTGTTGCAAAGAATTTACCTACTAATTTTCCAGAGTATTTTTATGCTGGTAATTTTGATATAGCCTATAGATTGTAAGTCACATTTTTCTTCAATAATTTTTCCCGTTTATTTTTAATTTTGATGCACATGAGAAGCATTGGTTTATCTCGAATTCTTACAAGATCACGTTTACTTAGAATTTTTGCTCTGTGATGTCACTATTGCATATTTGATTTTGGTTATTTACTTTTTGAACTCGGGACATTGGTGTTGATATATACTTCAGTAGGAATTGACATCGTTCAAGTTTATCCCCTTTCAAAACCACTCATTCCTGGTTATTTATTGGAACTTGGTAACTGAGCTCATTCGCTTTATAGAAACTTATATTTCATTTAAAATTCATTTAAAACTATTAATAACCGACTTCATTTTCTCCTTATATTTGTTAAGGCCTCTGTGATCTTTACAAGTGACGAGTTACTCTGCAAAGTGGTGAATCTTCTTCCACGCTGTCCTCTAGTCACGCATGTCATCTACTTCTCCAACGGTGTGGTCCAGAAGCACTCGTGTCTTGATGTGAATGACCTCGCTCGTCTCAATGCAACAGCCCGCCACTCTGTTGAGACGGCTAGAAAAGCCCTTCCTGACGGCGTGACACTCCACGACATTCTCGAATTGGAGGCTATTGGAACTGCTGAAATTTGTGGTGGTGCTGCCAAAAAAATAGAGTCTACCCTCAACTGGCAACCACCAGCCGATGAAAGACCCAAACCCAACGATCTGGCCGTCATTATGTATACCAGCGGCTCTACCGGTAATTCATTTGCAACTCTGCGTCTCACTTAAACCTATGATTTTGGAGTTTCGTCATTTGTCATCTGTTTTTGCTTGCAATTCTTCCACCATCAACATGATACTATGGGATTGGATGCACAATTGATTGTGAGGGACTGTATGGAATTTCGTTGGTATTTTTTATCAATTTGTAAAAGTAACATCTCGCGTTTATTTCTTCAACTTCTATCTTAACCATCCCTATGCATGCCATAGGATCCGGAATATACAGATATGAACAGTTTATGAGTTTCCTAGAATAAGGTGGCAATCTTGAGAAAGGACGTGCTTTGTGTATGTTTACTACACTAATCTGCACCACAAAAGTGATCCAATACACTCTAGCCTTGATGACACGCCCTTACCGCTCTCCGCAAATGGACGTTTCTCCTTGTGTGATTTTAAAGTACCTAAACTAAATTAGGACACCATGAAAATGATGGCTATCCCGTGATATGTTTGGTATACAAATCCCTAACATCCATTTGACTACCACCTTCACGTGAGGCCTTCAAAAGCCTTTAAGTATTTCATGTTTATGTAAGCTTGAAGTGGTATTGAGATGCCATTCGTGTTTGTTTACACTGCTGCTGGAATCTTCATCCGGTTTTGTATTATTCGTATTCTTTATTTATTTGTCTATCTATTGTCCAACCAAAATGACAGATTCATACCTTTAAACTCGGCTAAATAGCCTCCTTATTGCTAACTGAAAAATCTATCCCTTGTAGAAGTTTCTAATGTTGTGTAGAGTATAAGTTTTTTAGCGTGAATTTCGTTGATAAAACTTCTATAACTTTCTCTAATACCTCGGGAAATATCCACCTCCCGCAAAGCCTTACCCATTTATATCACTTGTTGAATTAGTTGTCGAATTAAAGTGAGAAGAATTCAACTAATCTAACTGCCAATAATCTCATACTGGCCTTCATTTTTCTCCATTATTTAGGGCGATCTATTTGGTAAAGTAGGATCGAGATATATTAAACAAATTTCTGAACTTCGCTAGATATTCTTTACTTTCGGATCATCGTTATACTTTAAGTTATTATTAAAGTTATTCAGTTATTGTTATTTAGCCCTGACTCTGATGACATCAAATACTAAGGCGTCTCAATTTGTAAGCGGTCATGTTATTAGGTCACATTCTGTTTCACACAATTAATTTTTGATATTCAACTTAATCTACCTTGACTTCAATTTGATCTTGCTTTTTGATAATTGTATCTTGTATAGGAGCACCAAAAGGTGTTGAGATAACTCATGAAAACATACTCTGCACAATTGCTGGTCTCTTCCGTCGTTTACCGAAATTGAATATTGATTCTGATATCTACATCGGATACCTTCCACTGGCCCATGTTCTGGAACTGACCTGTGAACTGTCGGTTCTTATCTTGGGCATTCCAATTGGTTTCTCCAATCCCCAAACTCTCACAGACACTTCGACCAAAATCAAGCAAGGAGCTTGTCGTGGTGACATTATTGTGCTCAAACCAACTCTCTTTGCCACTGTACCCACCGTCCTCGATCGGATCACAAAGTCTGTCTGGGAAAAGGTCAAGGAGGGTGGTCCATTGATGGAAGCTGTAAGTCACTTGTCTCTCTTCACATTCTTCTTTAGTGTGTAGATTTATATCTGTCGGTTGTTAAAAGTTTAATACACTTAATTGGGGTAGAGGGAAAGTATTCTGGAGAAGCTAGTTAACTAGTCTACTTCTATTGTAATAATCGAAGGTGGGGGGATTGACCCTTTAGTTGGCGACGGCAACTAGAAGTCATTTCCGTATAAGCATTAAATAGAAAGGAGCGATTTATTAAACAACATATCGTTTCAGGACCCTGTAATAACGATATGGGAAGAAATTCACTAGTTTGGCTGCAATTGAAACAAGAAATTAAGAAATTCCTTAAACTTCGTTGATAGTCACCCTCAAACTTAAAATGCTATGTTTGAACACTAACATTTCTAACTTAAATGAATAAAACAAAATTGTTTGTTTCCTATATTTTGACATTAATAAACAGAATAAATAATAACATATAGAAAAATGAGAAAATTCTTAACTACCTAAAAGTTATTTATTTCGTTAGGACCAGTACCACTGTATAAGTGTTTTTAATATTAAACAACTTCTCAAATGCTAACTACGAATAGAGCAAGATGTTATTAACGTAGGAGGATTTAGTGGAATCCATAGGAAAGAAAAGTGGGCTAATTTTTGTAGGATTTTATCTCCTAATTGCAAATAATTTGTCTGGAAAAAAATAAGTAGTGGAGGAAAAAGAATAATTTGGGGTATATCTACGATTAACTTCATAGTCTATATTCATTGTCATTCAAATCGTTCTACACGTATGTGGAAATAAAATCGAAATGCTTGAGTGCTTCGAAAATGTTAGAAGCTACTAGACATATTGACAGAGCACCGAAGAACTTTTTTGTGAATGCACATAAAGTCTAGTGTCTATATTGCTCGGGATAAATGTTACAGAGGTGTATTTGGTTGTTTTTCCTCAGATGTGTTAAAAGTGTTCAGGCACCACGTTTTTGTAAATATTCAAAGCTTCTTTCATGCTTATACATGATGGCACAGAGTGAATGGCTGGGGCCCATACAAATCATGGAATGGAATAACTCGTGTCATGAAGATTTGCGCCGCCATCAAAATAAGGAGATTGTTCATCACTCTCTGAGCACGTTAGAAACAAGGCAGAATGAACGGGAAATTCCATTGGAGACTTCGAGGTTGCTGTGAGTAGAAAGAGGCTACATAACAGGCTATCTGATCTGATTGATTTTTTGCAGCAGATTTTCCCCGAGAATCTGCTGCGAAAAAAAGCGTTGGAGCACCCTGGCATAGGAATTGGGGCTTTTATTGCCACAGATAATTGAATGTTTCACCACTCCTCTCCCCTCCCCACTTCTGCCATTCACTACTGCAAACATTTATTTCAAATGGCAAGTAGGATTTTCTGGACTAGGATCTTTTTGTCCTGTGAAATCCCTCCAGCATTCCACTGGAGGATCTGTAGACGTTGTGATTCGCCCTGACGAGGACGATTTCTCTTATAGCCTTATTTCAAGCTCTGCGAGGGCGATTTTTCTTATAGCCTTTTTCAAAGCTAATAAGGGCGATTTCTCTTATAGCCTTTTTTCAATCTAATCATAATACGATTTCTCTTATAGCCTTATTTCAAGCTAATCATAATAAATCGAAGTCAGAAGTCAACTGCCGAGCGATAGGCTTTTTTGCCGTATGAATAGACGTTGTACAGGGTGCACCATGTGGAGGTAAGTCTATTGCGCACCCCAATTACTGCAAACATATACTCTTCACAAAAAGGCCGTCAACGAAAAAGTCTGAGCATTGGGAAGCATCCAACTGAAAAGCCTACAATCTAGTTCTTTTCTGACACAATAAAACTTAGTCGCGCTTTAGTATTATGGTAGTTTTTCCCCAATATATGAGTACACTAGGTTTGTCATCTTATCTTTTGGTCTGCTGATAAGAACTTCGGTTACATAAGACCATTTTAATTTATATTAAAACTTTTGGTTAAGGCAGTAGAACATTTGATAATCTGCTTTTGAGTAAGATTTGCCTTTATGCTCTATAACTGTTGGCGACCAAACTCCATAAATTGATATGGCAAATATGTGGCAGTTTGTTGCTATGTTTGCACTCCTTGTTTATTTATTCTTACTCACGTTAAATTTGATAATATGTGCATATATTTTTCATTTAAATTGTTTTCATGACAAGTATTTTAATTTACTTGTTATATTTACTGTTATTAATGAATTTACTTTCCTAATAATTTTACCCATGCCTATTTTACTCATGGTGGATCTAATGAAGTATCGCGCACGATGGTTGACGCCCATCGGTTTTTATGAGAAATCTCGAATGTGCAACAGGTTTATAACATTTATAATTATTACAAGTATTTAAATTTAGCAATCGTTATTCAACCAAGTATTGTGCGTCAACCCTGAGCATTCACTTGAAAATGAGTGGACTGAGCTGTTGAAAGTCAAGACAGTTGTCCTATAAATCAATATTTTTCCCTTATCTAGTGGTTCGAATCATTATATTTCTATTGTCATTTTTTCTCCTTAACTGTAAGTGTGTCAACTTTAGTAATAACCAATATTAGAAAGCTTTCTTATCGATTAAGTTTGAAGTAGTTATCTGCAGGGCACTCTGTGATTTACATTGTAGATATTCCACTTCGCATATGATTACAAGTGTCGACGTCTTCACACGGGTTTCCCGAGTTTCTTGGTGGATCGGCTTATTTTCCGCAAAGTGCGTGCTCTGGTTGGTGGTCGTTTGCGCTACATCGTCTCAGGTGGTGCGCCTCTCTCCGAGGAGTCCCATCTCTTCACCAATGTCTGCTTTGCTCCCATTATGCAAGGGTGAGTTTTTCTATGTAAAAGGCCATTTGTTCGGGATCGTCTGGTCGAACCACCTTTTTGTCCATGTGACTGATTGGTGTGTTTCATGCATTTTAACTCATTTTCTAACTCATCACTGACAATGCATATCTAATCCGTCTCTGTTCTGTTATGTTAATGTCGTCTTAATTCTTTATTTGGATGGTCTGCTTCCTCAAGCTTTGGGGCTAAATGTAGCTTCAAAATCGGTTGTCATTATTAAGCAGATGGTCAGTAAGCATTAGATAACTGTGATAAAATTTAATTCTGGAACTTGTTTTACTCATTAATACCCAACTTTGCCCTAGACCTTTTTTTCTACCGATTTCAGTCTCCTCAAGGAAGAATTCCTTTCCTCTAAGTTTTATTGTTATATACTAATATTATCATATTATTTAATATAGTAGTAGCAATTAATAATAGAAGAGAAAAGATCGGAAGGGAACATGAAGTACTTCTTGAATAACTTGCAAATTAGTATGCCTGTGTTTCTTGTACTGATTATTTCCCTCCAGCGTTTACTTTATGGCCTGATTTTCTATTTCACCGTCCATCCCTTGTAAAGATATTTTGTCACTACATCCAAAGCTCGTCGGTTCATTAATCTACTATGAAGCTATTGATGTAATGCTACACCTTTGATCGTCTCAACCTCCGCATACTGACTATTTCAATAATCCAGCTCTAAGATTATTTACTAATATTTGGACTAATTCAATGGTATCATCTGTGGAATACGGTGTTTGAGTATAACATTTAGGGAGGCATGATACAGGTTATTCTTTTCTATTAAACTACTCACCCTTATCAATTGTGTATGGTATGGCTGCTTGATCAGCTGCTTATACCAGTCTATAAAAAGTGTGCAAAATATGCGCGATGGGGCGTGTGTTAAGGCCATCTACAGGGCATTTGTAAGATCGCGCGCTCGGATGATTTGTTGGTTTTTTCCAACAGCATTGAATCTAATGCTTTTCGCATTTGTTTATTATAGCTCAGAAATTAGTCCTATCTAAATGTCCAAGCTTGTGTTTTCGTGTTTTATGATCAGTAAAATGATGTTGATAAATCTCACTTTGAACATTTCGTTTTCACTATCCTGAGTAGCTAAATAATATTCCATCTTTATTAATTGAATGTAGTTAAGTTCTGCGTCCTTAATTTTACTTAATATGCGCCTCTAGCTTGAATATCAAGGCAGGAAGGGGAGATCTAGTTATTCTATTACCCTGTTCAGTTTTATCACCTGTACTGCCATAAGACAAAAATTTTGGGAGAAACTAAGGGAATAGTGCTGCCGCGTAGCCCGTAGGACAAATTTACATAATTTTTTATATCAAATGGTAGGCGTTTTGGTAGTCATCATTAGCCCTTTAGTTGACTTGAGGCTTCACAGAGGGGAAGGAACCTCAAAGTGAAAAAAGTCGAAAGGGGGGGGGGACAGAAGAGTATTTCAAAGGTGAGGTGAGTACTGTGGAAGCGGTTGTATATGACATACAGTGGGGTGATGGTAGTTTGAAGTGAGAAGTCAACTGCCAGTCAATAGACTTTTTGCCGTATGAGTATACGTTGCCCAGGGTGCACCACATGGAGGTAAGTCAATTGCAAATCCCATTTACTTAATAAAGTTAATATGCAAGTGTCAGATGAAGGGAAAGTTATGACCAAGTGTTCCTCAGAATGCCCTAAAGGAGGGCGACAATTGGGTAAAATGTAATAACAACTCTGTAATCCCATGGCCATCATTCAATAGCCAACAGATATTCATTTATGCCAATAGGTGGAAGGGTTTCGGTGTTTGTAATGAAATGCAATTTAAATGACGTGTGTCAAGTATATTTTATTTGCTTGCCTCAAATATTAGGTTGGCAACTAAGTCATTGCCGATTTCAA